CACCAAATATTCCTAGCCGTTGGGATCCCTAAAAAAAGAGAACGTACTGCCTTTCCACAGCTAAAGATGAATCTAGCCCAAAAAATCCGGCGTGCTTTTGTGCTGATTGGGCAGTACGCTGTATATATTTATGTGAATGCAAACTGCAATCATGACCGTTTTTAAAAGCTAACGTAATACATACAGTACGCGTCAAATGTCTTTCCATCGCTACCGCGATGAATGAGACAGCACTTCAGCGCGGTACATACATATATATATATATATATATATATATATATATGTATATATACACATATATATATATATATCTAGATCTATATATATATATACATATATATATATACACACACACATATATATATACATATATGTATATATATATATATATATATATATATATATATATATATATATATATATACAACCGTGGAACGTTCCCTTTAGCTGCTTTTGAGGCACTTTCATTGATTGGCAGGTTACGGCTGTGTTAGCCAGGTATATTTGTGTTTGTGTGAGGCTGTCTTTCAGCTGCTCCTGCTTTGGCGGGGCGCAGTTTTCCGTCACGTTGGCAGTTCGGTGGTATTCTCTGCCAGAATAAAATTATTTTTTAGATTCAACCAAAGTAGCTAAATAACAACTCAGCATCACGCACACATCAGTATACTCAACCAAAACACTTCACCGTGAAGTTTTGTTCTCATGAGTCGGAGGAGTCGAGTTGAACTGGTCGGTGGGAAAGACAAATTAAAATAAGTCGGAGCAGTAGCCGAATCAGTTTTGGGGGGAAGGCTGGAATCATACAGTCGTCTGACGTCTAGGTACCGGTTACGAACTCTGTTACGATTCTGGCTGCTTATGTCGCGCCAAGGCATCATACGTGCCATTTCCATCATTCAATTTTCAACACAGACATTTAGCCCAATAATTGACATGCATCGTCTCACTTTCATTTTGTTACCTATAATCACACCATCTGCATTTTTGACTTGCTCACTTCCGCCATCTCTTCCGACGATCCGACGCTTTTTTAACGGCCTGTCATCTGCAGACAAGCCTGCGGCGGCTGGATTTGAGATTACCACATGACGTCAACAGATCATCGAACGCAGGCCAGACAGCCGCAGTCATCAAACGATATGGGTGTCCGACCTAAATACGCGCTGCGAAGTTTGTGTCTTGAATCTGTGCGGACGGTCAATATGAATATGGAAATCACCCCTGAAAAAATGAAATAAGGCTCATGTTGCGAGAATAAGAGAGTAAGTAAAGTGTAATAATTAAATGCACATATGCGGTAAGAAGTACGATAGGTATTAGATCTCTCCTGGTAGATCAGTTCCAAAAGCTCAAGATAATCGGCGTACATGCGGCCCATGCTGATTTAAATGCTTGCTAGTTGTTGAGTTTTAAGAGCACGTCAACTGCGTAGCCTATTTGCGCCACCATTGCTTGTCTAACAGATCCTTTTATTTCCTTCTGTGAAAGGTGTGAAACACTGAAATGTATTAAAAACGGCATGTATTTTTACTGTTGGTGCTCAGCAAAAAACTGGGAATCTTGTCATGCCATGTCGCGCAGTGCGTGTGCTGTCTGTATTCTACCGCTGCCAGTATGGCTATTCTACCGTTATTTGCATTCCTTTGCTGAGCAAAAATTGTACGGTCATTCAGTTCCAACGCTCAAATCTCCCACACCTTGATTTTTTACGCTGGTCCTCAGCCAGCCAGTTATGTGCATTGTTCAAACTGTATGTTGGTTTTCAGCTTCAGTGCGGTACTTCAGGTGCAATATTGATGTCTAGCCGCAAATCCGTCTTCCTCTGGATTACACCTTACGGGCTGATTGCAGAATCCGCTGAAGATTTTACCGCAGTCAGCCGAAGCGGACTAGAAGTGACGGTTCTAAACCCGCAGGGTCGCTGACCACAGGTACGAAGACCTTAGCGGAGGGCTGTACAATCTGCTGCAGATTCTCCAGCCAGTCCACAAGATGTAAACGGGCTAAAGTCCAGCTTCGCATGAAATCGTTATGTTTTGAAAACGGCGGGAGGATGGAATGGAATTCGAGAGAACATGAATCCTCTCAGACATTTTTGACGCCGTCGAAGATCATTGAACACTTGTTTGATACAGATGCTGTCTGGTTATACCAACGATGCTTGGGAGGCCATCAATTTATCACCGATAATCATTTTTTTAGCTTCTCTCTGCATTCGATGAATACTGTTCAGTTAAAACTACAGCGAAGAGCGGATGGCAGGGAGCTGTATATGGTCCACTCCCCAAAATGTGCCCAAAATTTCACCCTTGTGCCTCAGGTTGCAAAAAGGTGCGAGGTATGTAGGGCATATATATATATATATATATATATATATATATATATATATATATATATATATATAATCAAACGTTGAAGACTCATTATATCTGATTATATCTGAAGGAAGCATTATATCTAAGCTCATTATATCTGAAGGAAGCATCAGATATAATGAGCTAAGCTCACTTTTCAATATTGTTATAATGTTAAGCGCAGAAGACTGCTCTAGACACAACTTATTATTTTTGTTAATAAATATGCTCCTCATTACGGCATTGCTTGCCTGAGTCATGAAACGTCTGCATGACACTGAGATGCTGCCAAGCGAGCCGTGCGAAATTGCCACAAAAACAGTCATTTGAAGCACTTAAAACTCGCTGAGAGATGGCAGTGGCAGCTCTGTAGATGTCTGCTGAGCCAAATATCGTTGTACGATCGTGCTCTGACCCATTTTCCTAAAAAGTTGTCTCGTATTCATACGCTCCGTTACGGCGCTTTTCTCAAGTTATTCTATTCCAAGTCTTATTTCCGCCATAGCAAGCAATTATGTCCAACTTATCATTTTATGTAGCACAAAACGTGATGCGTGATGTCATTGACGCAGTGCAGGTTGTTCGAAATGTATTCAAAGGTATTTTTGTTGTATCGTACCATAGTGCACAAAGCACGTCTTCGACATTATAACCGCGCAGAGGTCTTGTTATGCTATTGCCATTTCGCCATGAGGTTTCAAGGCTTTCCTAGCATCTTCTGCTGGGAGAACGTTGAAGTCTGGCAACGGCATAACATTCTATGAAAGACAGGACTATTTTCGAGTTAAATGTCGTGTTTCCACTCAGTGTTCGTCCAGGCTTTTGAAAGAAAACGGGTGATATTATTCACGACAATAGTCTTGTTCGTATTCATGTTCAATTTATTGACGAATCATCACAGCAAGTGGCTCATTGTTTGATTCGGTATAATAACAATAGAAGTTTGAATGCTATGTCAAACATACTAACAACGCGACCACACTCGCACGTTATGAACCAGCCTGTCGCTAATCATCATTAGCCAAAATGAAAAATCAAGACATGCTACACAGCGGCAAGCAAAAAATGTTACACAAACGGCACGTAAGCGATGATTACACAGCGGAACCGTCCTTATCATCCAGTCCGGTGCGAAGCTTCTTACGAGTGCGGGAGGCGGTAATGTTCGGCGGCAGGGTGGCTCCAGGATGAGACCGCGGAAACGAAACGTCCTACCTGTGTGTTGTTTCTTCCCTCTGACTCCGGTTGTCGGTTTAGAGAAAACAACGACAGAAAAGTATTACGTGAGCAATGCTCAATGCTTGTAAGATTCGCCTATCAAGTGACCACACAATGCGGCCCTTCACGGTCGGGTTGTGGAGAAAAACAGCAAACGCCATGCAGTTTCCGGCTAAACATAGCCAGATCGGGAACTTCATGGCGTAGGCAAATCCAGGTCCGCGTGAAAAATTGTTCTGTTTTCACTGTTTGCTGTGTGCGTCCTCGAAAGGTTACCGCTTTCTTCACAAGGGCGTTTTCTGTACCGTCGTCTCTTTGGTGAACGTGTAATACTTTTAGGTAGATATCGACGCTTTGCACATGATAAGCCTGCTTCTCACATATTTTGCTGTTTTTATGGAAAAGGTGTTCAACAAACTTTAGTTTTAGCGTTTGAATGACCAGCAGGTAACCAAATGCAGTGATCTTTATAAACGATTGGCGTCAGTTTATCGATTTCAGGTATCTTGCATCCCTGAAAATGTGAGATGACTGATGCGGACATTTGGACCTTTGAATGATTTCCATCGCGACGAGCAAGCCGCATTGAACCCCAGTTTGAGTACCCTCGGCTATGTAGAACGAGTCACATATTTTCTCATGGCGTCGCCTGCCCTTGGCGTGCGTCGGTCACGCATGACAAGTTTATGTGAACAGATAATAAGGAGCCATACGTGTGCCTTTTGCTATCTGAGAGCACTGGCGCTTGAGCCTCAGCAACCTTCGGGAACCTCCGCGAGACTGGAATGGTCCCTTAGTCTACATTGGGTCTCACGTACACCTTCACTAACTCTGCACCTGATGAGTGTCCCGCCGCTCCATACCCTGGCTGCTATGCCCGCAAACAGCGCATCAGGCTCGAGCCCGGTGTTTGCGCGCCTCTGAACGAGAGGCGGCCGACTCGCGTTCCATTCGGCGTGGGAGATGTCTGTGAGCCGGTACTCTCCGGACGGAAATGTGGCCAAAGCTGGCGGCTTTGGCTCGCTGACGGTGCTGGCTATTCGCGGACGATAATTTGCGGCTGCGGTTGTCCGCGTCCGATCATATCGACACAGGAAATGGACGCCGCTGTCCACCGGACATTCGGCACCGACCGGTCGAAGCTGGGAAGAAGTTGGCGCGGGGAGGTTGTCTCGCCGACGTCCGGCTCTCAGGTGGTGCACCGCGCTCGAATTCACGCACAAATGGAGTTACCGGTAGTGCGGTGCTTAGCGGTTGGAAAGCTAGAGGTACGCGGTTCGATCTCGATGCGCTAATGAGATCGCTTTATTTCTTTTCGGGAATGGCTCCATGAATAGAACACTAGGCGGCACATGACTGTTCCCAGTCCAGGGCCGAAGGGCCATTCGGGCCCAACGCGGGTTGTCTTCCGGCAACCATCCTGGCAACATGGGGTGTGATCCCCTGGCCGATCCGGAGACCTTTAGAGAAATATACCATATGACATTGGTCCCACCCTGGCGCGGGAGGTATGGATCCAGACTAGGATGGGTCCTCCGCGAACACAAGACGACCCCATTCTAAACTTAAATGGGCTCTTTCCGGACCAGGCATGGGGCCCGTTGAACTTGTTTTGGTAACACAGTAAGCGAATACCACCACAAACCCATGGGCCCCTTCCGCGCCACCTGAAATTATGGGGAAGGGGACAAAAGATGCTTCTGGCCCACCTCAGAAGATGGGGAGGGAGGGGCACTTTGCCCTCGCTGCCCTCCTCCCCCCCCTCCCCCGGATGCGCCGCCACTGTTCTCAGCAAAACCATACCTTAGACCAGAGACGACCGTGACGATGGCAGTAGCCACTGGTCGCCGCGGGAATCGCTTGGAGTCATTTCACGAGCTGAGCCAAGTCAGTTAACATTTTCCGAGTGCAGCTTCAAAATATTCACTTACATTGGCAGTTTCCTCTTCTAGGTATTTTATTGACTGGCAGAATTTATATCGCATTGTGCTCCTGCATGCGAAATATATGCAACAATGCGCTAGTGAACATGATGGAAACAGGGCTGATGGATGACGTTTGGAAAACGCCAGCTAGGCGAGTTTCATTGCACTTTGAACGCTGCGAAGTCCACTCCACCGCCTCGGTCGGTCAGTTTGGCTGGGTCTGTAGTAGCCGTCGCTCTTCCACTTGCTGCATTGTCAAAGCTGGCCCGGGCGCAACAACCCTGCGTTTTGCTACGGCTAGCTTTCTGAGTCTTCCGTCTCTTTTGATAGGATTATTATTCATATCCTCTCAATTCCGACACGGGGCTTGCGGTTTTTCTGCTCGTATCCAAGCGCTACTCACGCTTTTCCACTGACACGTCTTGCCGCTGCTGGCTCCACTCGCCACATCCTGCATTTTATTTGTCTGCCGCCGGCCGGGGATATTTACGATGCGAGACAGTTTCATCTCCTCTTTTTAATGGCTGACTTTGTTGATTCTGCAATTAGTTATGCACGGCCAGGCCGTTTGATGAACATTCAGGGAGAAATGAGTTTGTTCCGATGAAAAATGGAGCCCTTTAAACCAGCTGGAGTGAGCACTTCTCTTAACTGAGTTATCGCTAGCCTCCTTGGGCTCGGCGCCGAGTGGGGAGGGGAGTAATTTATGAGTCCGGAGCATCTTTTCATCTTAAGCCTCGTATATTGAGTAAAAACAGCTATCTTTTAGTCGTTCAGTGTGTTGAGAACGGCGATAGGTTCATACGGTCCGAACTATGCAGCGGTCGCGTTTCTTATGCACACCTCACTGCTGCACCGTCATTCCGCAATGCGTTGTGACTGCAACAGTCACTGAGCCACGTATCATTACAAGACCTGCGCCTGCTGCGAAGGCTAATGCAAGGCCACAAACTTAGTTTGCAAAGCGAGGTGGCCAGTATTTTTCATGACGGGAAATCTGGACGCCTTTGTTGGGATTCGGATTCTTGTCATGCTGTGCCTCGAACGTTTGACGTCCGTTCATCGCCGCTACCATCACCCTGACTTATGGAGCACCGGGGCCGAACATGATGCCGCAACTCGAATTTGGTCCGTTGAGTGTTGATTGGGCACTGAGTGTTGATTTGGTGCGTTGAGTGTTGATTTTAGCATGTTTTTCGTTGGAGTCAATATTCGCGGCAACGCGCTGTTCAGGGAGGAAATTAAGCGTGCGCTCACGCATCATAGTGATATAGTGCGTTGAAAATGCGCTGAGGAACGGAGCTTTCGAGCTTATCACGCATGTGCCAGCTCTTGGCTTCCTGCTCGTATGCCTCGTTTTGTTGTGTTCTGTGTATTTTCTATACTCAGGAAGCTGTATATCTTGCTTAAACAATGGCAGGTCTCCTCCATCGTCTGCCCAGCTCATTTCTTGCCCACCACTTTCCCTATCCTCTTGGCATCCCTACGCGTGTATGATCTTTCTCTCTCTCTCTCTCTCTCTCTCTCTCTCTCTCTCTCTCTCTCTCTCTCTCTCTCTCTCTCTCTCTCTCTCTCTCTCTCTCTCTCTCTCTCTCTCTCTCTCTCTCTCTCTCTCTCTCTCTCTCTCTCTCTCTCTCTCTCTCTCTCTCTCTCTCTCTCTCTCTCTCTCTCTCTCTCTCTCTCTCTCTCTCTCTCTCTCTCTCTCTTCTCTCTCTCTCCTCTCTCTCTCTCTACTCTCTCTCTCTCTCTCTCTCTCTCTCTCTCTCTCTCTAAGACCCATATTCATTGCATAGATTTTAAGATGTCATCCAAAACCGAGCTCACTCGAGACCATCAAGCATAAATAAGGCTACACAGAAATTGGAC